CGTGATGGAAGGTAAAAATAATTGGAAATTAAATGAGTAGTGGTAGAACTTACCCACAAGGCTTTTGTATTTTACTAAGTTTACTTATCTCGAATCAGAATGAATGATATCGACACCTTCATGCAATAAAATCGTAACTATTTTTTTTTATGTTTGTAGAGGAGACATAATTTAAAGTTTAAAAAAATGTGCCACGTTCAAAACAACCCGTACAATCTTAGAAGCTGTCACTATCTAATATTATTTAGGTGCACTATTTTTATGTACGGTTAGGTTGTAAAAGAAAAGTTGATTTCAAGGTTTTTCATGACTTACGTGAAAACCAGTACATTGAAATCTAAACTAATATTATAAAGAGCAAAGATTTGTTTCTTTGTTTGTTTGTTTGAATTGAATAGGCTCTGAAACTACAAAACCGATTTGAAAAATTCTTTCAACATTAGAATCCTACATTATCCCTGATAAATATGGGCGATAGAATATTTTCAAAAAAGTTAGGGATCCGTATGAAAACTTCGTTAATGAAACGACTTATAATTATGACACTGAGTATTTTTTTATCATAAAATATCTCTTACTCTCCCGAAAACCAAATTTTGATTTTATAAAAGTATTAATTCTTTAAACATAAAAAAAACTTCTTTCTCAAAAAAAAAAGAAATAGGAAATTAACTTTAAAAACTATTAATTTTCATCATCACTACCGTTGTCTTCAGCTAGTTGAGTGAAATGTGGAAGATTAAAATAGAAATTATAATAAATATCTGGTATCTCCTTACATTTACACAAACTTACAAGGTCCATACTTTGCTGTTGATATTGGGAGCACTTTATTATACAATAAAGGAATACTTTCTCCGTCGTTTGATTGTTTGAACTGAATTGACTCTTGTGCTCTTTTTGTTAGTGTAATGCGTGTAGTAGGTTTCACAGCAAAGTTGATAGATAAGTACTGATCACTGAGATAATCATATTGAAAGTATATGAAGTCAGGGTTTTCGTTTTGTTGTATTTTAGTCCACGACATCTTTTTTCCAGTACTATTCCAGTCCCAGTTTAGTTTTTTCTTTGGAAGGCTTAGGGCTTATAATCAAGAATTAGGGTTTTGATCTAATTTAGTAACATCATAAGGGTTCCCCATAGTTTTAACACATCTGATCAGAGTGATCCATTGCTCTGGTACAAAAATAATCAGATTTTTCTTCCGGAACTCTATTAACGCATGCATAACATCCCTTTCAGATTGTGAATGCCTAACTTCAAAATGTTATGTGTAATCGTTATACCAAATATTTTATATACATGGGAATACATAGCTATTATTATGCGATTGCGGTTTTGTCCGCCGCAGCATTCAGAAAAATATGAAATATACAAAACCCTTCTTCATATTTCTGTTTAATAAAAAGAAACACAGCGCTACTAATTTCTGAGGATCCTTTCCTACCTATTGTCTCATTCCAGACGTACGAATATCTTTTGGCCTTTCGTATATCATATATAGTAAAATAGTATACAGCAAAAACTTCCTTTTGTAGTAAAAGAGCGAAACTTCTGATTGAGGTGTAGTCAATACTTTGTGTAAGTCATAAGCAGCTGTAACTATAACGTCAGATTGTTTTGACTGAAAATTATAAGTCTCTTTCAGCTCTCTTATCACTGTTTTGTTCGCAATATGCCAGGTGTACTCTAGCTTCATGTCATCTTTTTCGTTTTTCAGATCCTCTTTTACATCTGTCGCATAGAATACAAAGATATTTCTTGGGGTTATAGAATTTATTATATATTCGTTATAAAAAATGTTTTTATATTGCCTATAATTTGCCACTTGTTCCAACAGACGATTTTCTTACATCCAATCGACGTAAATTCTGTACAATGCAGGGTATGTTGAAGTTTCCTCAAAGTAGAGTTTGGAAGTTCTTTTTCTTACATAATGTGAATCCACTATTGGAATTAACGAAATGTGATTTCTAACAGATTCTTTAACTTCATTTGGTATCACATTTTTTTGATTATTATGTCGCCCACTCAAATCTCCTGCTATAAGACCAGTGCCTTCTTTGTCCATTTTCTTGTAAATAGTTTGTAGCCACATATTACCTATACACAGAGTATCAAGAATCATTTTTTTGCATATCCTTTTGTGTCGCCGTCTTCATATAAATAATATTGAAAGGACCAGTGGCGCCATAACAGATGCTGTTATTTGTTTTCGTGGAACTCTATCTACAAGTCTACAAACAAAATCAGCATGTCTTCAGTGGTCGCCCAAACCCCAAAAAATCTTTAAAAATTGCATATCTTGTCGTTTCCATTAATCTTTCTTTGCACTTTCTAGTACAGGCATTATTACAGCCACTCTTCGTAGCTTTATTTGGGACTAAAACTTCGCTTCTATTTACATATTCTTCGCCCAAAGTTTTCTTTCGCTTACTTAAGTTACGTTTCCAGTTTTCTCGATTATGATCTCGTTTTCTACCCGATTAAGTTTTCTTCGGAACAGTCCTTTTCACTTTTCTTGCTGTCCCTCCAGAGGTGGTAATATTTTCAGGTATGTTTGTATCTCTTATAAAGGAATATTATGTGTGAAAAATGTTGAGAACTATTCCAAAACGTCAGGAGAAAATGGTTATTTTCTACTAGATGATGAGGAGGAATCTGGATAATAATTTACCAGCGCATTTCCCGTATATTATTTTTGAGTGAAAGTAACTTCACCGTGCTCGAGAAAATAGCTATTATCTAGTAATAGAGTAATTTTGTGGGTAGCATGATCATATGCCTTGGATGAAGTCGAAGCTTCCTCTTGATCTAAAATTTTAAGTACCGATTAATATAGCAAAGTTCACCTTAGCAAACATTTACATCTGGCAAGGAGCGTCGGTGCGCAATGCACATGCAAAAGCGTTCATGTATAAACGTGTTTTCACGCCAAACCTGCATAAACCTGAACCGACTAAATCGACAAAGTACTCGACTCCGAGTAAAACTCTGTATTCGGTTACTCGGAACAACTTTAACTCGGTACATCTTTAATTTGAACTGACTGAACGGCTCCGATGCGCTTGCCAATACGTAGTTATTGCTGACGCTGACAATTTACATTAAAATACAACTTAACAGTTGGAACTTCACTTAATGATAATGCCAAATTTAAAATATTTTAGCTACGCTTCATTTTATTGTGGTTTTACTCTATAAAAGCCAAAATAGTCACAATGTACACTTCTCACTTCTTTATACTAAACCACACAACAACACTAAACTTCCATGAGCGCGAGTAAACTGCCAGGCGACAACATCGCACGATAAAAACTAACGTAGTTATCCGCGCAACAACATTGTAAGTCAACATACAATGCAGTAAAATTACGTTTTATGTCCATATACGCCAATTTTTTCATGTACAAATATTGTATTGATTGACTTGCTAGTCATAATATTTTTTATAAATTGTAAATCAAGTTGCAACGATATTGTTGAAAAAAAAAACTTTTTTGATATGTTACAATACTATGACATTTGTATATTTTAAAAACGAATAGGAGCAGAATTACAATGATTGTACAGAAAAATTGTATTTTTTTTTTACATAGCAATATATTGTAACGCAATTTATAGAAAAAAATTAGTTACGATGTTATTGCATGGAGGTGCCGATATCTGTCTCGCCAACACAATACCTAGGCGCGAAATTTAAAACTTTTATCAAAGTACAGTTAGTAAAAATCGGTACATTTGGCGCCCCGATCAAGAGTGAATCGGGACGTATCATCAGACCCTTGAAAATCGGGACGTTCCGCGCAAATCAGGACATCTGGCTACACCAGCTGTAACCCAGATCAATATAACTATTCATTAAATAGGTATTTTATTTTCTTGCTAAACCAGCGCGTCGATAATATTTTCGTAGCTGGGTTTCGAAGTGCCTCTGTACATCGCTCGTTTACCTCGTTAATTGTATGTAAATCAATAAGTAAGAAATAATAAACATTTTAAGTTACGAGTAACTAAAGTTTACTTAGAAGCTGAACACTTGTATAGAAATAAGAACGAAAGAGTGAACACAGAAATAAAGAACCAAACAATGCACCTGGTTGTGCGATAGTAATATTGATTGTCGCGTCGTCGTTAGGCTCTCTTATGCGAATTATTTTGTCTTTATGAGTTAATTTTGGAATACTTAGTCAACAAATTTGTAAATTATCACAGGTGTCTACAGAAAATTGCACAGTAGTACCACGATCATTTTTTCCTTTTCCTTTATAATAGAACGTATTACTTTGGAAATGTTTCACAAATATCGAAGTCATTAACGCAGAACAAGGAGTCTCTCAATTATACTCAATTAAATTACTATTACGTATAATATCATAAATGACACGGTCAATCGATTATATAAGAGTTCTGCTTTTGCTTTTATCGGTGAACTAATTATTCACAACTGATTGAATATAAAGTAGGCAAAGATTCAAATAAAATTTTGTGATTAATTGATAAGCAAGAATTGTGTTCTTAGAAAGTGCAAGGTTGGACAACCATATATTACTCGTATTAAAATTTTAAATCTTTTTTAAAATATAAAAAAAAAAACTATATACAATACAAAATAAGTTATTATTATATTACTTTTGTTCATTAGCAACAAAAGCTTCCTTCCTTACTGTTGATAGACGTATTTCTATGATTATTATTATTATATATATCTTTCAATGATTATTATTAAATACTTTTTTAGTACGTGCCCACATAATATTGATTTATGTATCACTTGTAGCAAAATTATTAATATTATTGTAAAAAATTCGGTAGGATTTTCTTCTTTTGAGGCTTAATTTACATACATACACAAATTACACACGGACAAACATCCAGACCCGGAACATATATGTAGGCAATACAAAAACATGTTCCATGCGAGATTCGAACACGTGGCCCTACTGCGCTGCAATCAAACGCTTAGGAACTGCGCCGGAGCCGTCACATCACTTACTTACATTTTTTACAATTTTGAATCGGTTCCGATTACACTGTAATGCACGAGTATCATTTTATAATAACACTTCTTAATAATATGTGGTACAATTTTCGTAGTGCCTATGTATTAGACACATTTAAGATTTAGCGGGATCGACGGTTTTAGTGTTAGTGTAACCAGGGAACACCAGATAAACTTATAACGGATAAAAATTAAATCGCGGTTGCGAATATTTAAGGCGTGGGACATTTTACGGTACGAGTATATAAAGCGGCGGGACGCGGCCGAGATTTCGGCGCGGGATATTAATACGTTCGGCGTACTGACCGTCGCTTGGCATCGTGCTGCAGTCGAGGGCTGCTCGCGGACAACTGTGCCGGCGGCCGGCGCCGGCGCTTGGGGCCGACCATCCTTCACCCTCCTTCCCCCCACATTTACATTTGATTAGCACTTGGATTGCTATAGCTAAATTTCATCCTCTTTAATCCAATATTTCTGAAACTCGGTAGCGTTTAGATCTTTAAAGCTCAGTTAAAAATAAACCTTTTTACCATGTCAAAAATAATCATTTCACATGTAGTAGCAGGTTATTTCATAATGGTTTCATAAATACATACTAGTCTAGTCAACATGCTCGTTTGCCCCCTTTCCTATAAAAAAAAAAAAACACAGGTTCATAAAACGTGATAACTCTTGTTCCCGCTCTTAAAAATATGTGCGACAGCTCATTCGATTCGTATTTGACGTCTAGAAAAATGTATCTCGACGATTTATTAGCACTTAAAAAATTGCAATTGTTATTAACAAAATAAGATAAAAAAAAGATATTTAGGTTTTTCTTCAATAACTCAAAAATTCATATTTGAGACGTTTTGAAAAAAGATCCTTAAAGAGGAGGAAATTTCCAATAAAAACGTCTGAAATCCTGGAATTCTATCTCCATTATTTATTATTTTTATTTAATGCCCAAAATAGATGTCCGCGTGACCGTTACGGCTAGAGTACATCGCCACTGAAGACGACAGTTTTATAGTATTAAATATTAATTTAAAAAAATTAAAAAAATTATCGTATAATAAGAACACTTGAATAATAAAGCCCCGTAGGAACAAATTTTTCATGTCGATTTTTCAAAAAGTTATACGATTGTTAATTAACTAATTTTTTTTCCAATCTCTGTTTTTGCAAAAGTCGACATAAAAGTTTAAATATACCTTACTATAATTTTGTTACTTCTTGTCTCTAGTCTTTCTTATATACATAATTAACAAGATTACGTGATAAAAGTTTATTAAGTTTTTATATATTTTTATTATAATTTTTTTAAATGAACATAATGTGTAATATATAAACGTAAAAAGATGTTTTAAATATTCAGCCGCAAAAATATGGAATGATTTGCTACCGCCCTTAAAAGAAGGTTTGAGTATTACATTTGCAATATTAAAAAAAAAAAGTTTGAAAAGGCGTTATATCATAAACAAAAGACTTTTTAGGCCGAATGGCTGTATGTTTATTGTGTGATAAAGTCTTTTTATTTAACACATATACACTGTAATGAGGGTTACCACTAATACATAATGAAGAACGATGTGCGTGCGACCAAAATATACCCAAAACAGCTGGGACTGACTGAAAACCAGTGCTGAGTATAATGACCAGCAAATACTGAGCCTATTCACGTTGCCTCACATTATAATCGAATACTTACTCGTAGTAATAGTAGTTAATTTGTTAATTGTGAATGTTCATTTTTTTTATAGAATAATTAAGTCTAATTGTTTTTTATGTGAATACTTTTGTTTTCATTTGTAAACTTATTATTATGTGGCAATAAATATTTGTTATTTATTTATTTATATCGAGCTAGTATAATTTCAGGCATTATTCCATGCTCAGGCATAGTTCTCAGCGGTGCCTTCTTTCTTTGAAGTAGGCTGCGAGTGTTCATGGACTGCTGTAGCCACTTACCATAAGGCAAACTGTACTTAAGTCATGTTACTAGTCATGTCTAATTTATAAAGGAAACACTAATCAGCCCATCTAAAGCTCTCTTGCTTTATGATATCTTTGTGATAGTTGCTATTAGGATGTTGCTGCACATCTCCCGTTTTGATTTTCGTTGTCGCCTCTTAAAACTCTCACGGAATGGTTAGCAAGTAGGTTTCTCTTACGGTACCATTACACAGCCATTTTAGGTCCTCATTCTGTCTGTTTTATAACGCCATTAAAACCACAATTAGACGTGCATTTTTATATACAAATGGTCAAATACTACGTTCTAGAACCTTGACCTTGCGGCAAGACCTGTGTTAACGTGTCTTTGTAAACAAGAAATTGTAAGAGACTTCAGAATACTTGTTTTTTAATCATTACATTTAAGTTTAATGATTGAAAAAATATTTACTTTAGCGGATTCCCATTTTTATTTTGTAATAAATCAATTACGTACGTCTCAACTGAAAGAGAAATCTTTTCAAAATTAAGATTACCCAATTAATACTCATTTATCTCGACGTCGTCCTAAATTTGATTTAAAAAAAGTATTGTCGAAAGTAATGGATTGCTCCTTAAAAAACTCAATCGCGTATTTTATTCTCAGACGACATCCTGGCTCCTGGCCTTCGTCGGAAGCATCCTTCGGTCAATCATTAATTGTAACAAAACATCAACATTTTGTAAGCGTTTCTGCCGTTGACGCCGGCGGAATACTTCTTAATGACATTACAAAATTATGTAATTTTATGCTTTCTGGTAATGTTAATCCAAATTTCATTCCATTCTTATATGGGACAAGATTATGTGCCTTCAAAAAAAAAAAGGGATAACGGTATCTGTCCAATTGCCGTTAGTTCCACATTTCGACGCTTAACTTCAAAATTAGCTTTCAGGCACATAATCTCTAACCTTAAATGAAATAAACCACAATAAACCAATTCATATCAAATAATCCTTTCCGCGATTCCCGCAGTTCACAAATGAGTGAGAGGAGCGCGTTCGAATTCGACACCTTCGTATTTAAGAATGTGTCTAACAATTAAGTTTCGCTTCCGAGTGGCGTTTAGCGCCCTTGATAACAAGGCGTAAAGTAGACGAAAAACAATTAAATACAAACGAATGGATTTGGTATTATTTACTTTGTAAATTGAATGCGTAGTTTAATTGATTTAACACATTTAGCTACATAGATATTTAGTTAAATTCACTGTATTAAAAATGAAGTATTACGGAAACGTTCTGTGACCTGACCCGCGTTGTGCGCCTCGTATGAAGATTGAATTTCTAGTCTAATAGGTTAAAGAAATGTTTTAAGAAGTTTGGACCAAGGTACGTTTGGTAAGTCATGTAGGGTGCAACAAATACTTAGGCCAAATTAATATTTCTCACACAGTCAATAATAATAGATCGTTTTTGAAATTATAGAAGTGGCACGATTATACTACAATCGATCATTTCAAAAAGCTTTGAGTAGTCTACAATACGACTTACAATAAATATATAATTTGATTTATCTTATAATTTATGATAACGCTACTGTGATGATAGGACACCGAACTAGATCTCACCAAATAATAAGCAAAAAGGCGATATTTGTCAATTGCGATGATCATTCACTTAATTTGATCGGTGCACATGAAACCAAGCAGGACGCTATACGATCACGTTTTTCGGAACTATTAAAGCTATTTCTATTATTTGCTCATTCCGCTTTGCGCCGGAGAAAACTTGAAAAATGCGTGACTGTGATTGTAAATTCAGAGTTCGAAACGACCTGTAAAATCAGAGTATAAGGGTTGAAGGAGTAAAGCCAGTTCACAAATATCTTGAAGATATGTTGAACCTTCCTCAAGATATAACAGACCATAGCGATTAAACCACTGAAACAAGAAGTGAGTCCAGACTTCTTCATAATCGCATGTTGTCGTACGATTTCTGACGTTAGGATTTTTTAACGATGCCGTAACTGAAAGCGGCTCTAGAATCATAATATGAATTTTCATATCGCTGCCTTGAACCTAAAAGTCCTCCGATACCATTTTTGAAATGAGACGTTAGTTAATGAGATCAAATTGTTGTACAATGTACACACGGAAACCATCGTAAGCAAAAAAAAAAATGGAGCTGGAGAGAGTGCGTCGAATGCAAGGTTGACTGCTAAAGTAAAAAATGGGACAAGTAATGAAGGGATCATAAAACGGAAAACAGATTTGGATTTTTTCTTGAAGTGAAAAAACTGTGTTACGGCACCGCCGATTGCAACGATTTAAAAGATATATATCCAAGAATGTTAGATTTTTGAAAGCTAATATCTACAAGAAAAAAAGTCAACACAACAAAATCTTATAAGCTATCTGCTTGAATTTAAAGAATGAAAGCACATTTTCATTCAAATTCTGCTTATAATTACAGTATTTCTCAGTAAGTTAAAATTATTACTTTCCTATTTGAGGGCTATATGAGGTTATCTCTGGGAAGGTCTAGGTTCGGTGTAGTGGACTTTTGATAGGCAGTAATGAAAGGAATGAATAAAATAGGTCAAGAAAAGGCGTCCTCGTTTTGCACAGCGGAAAAAACTGACTCCAAGATATCATCGCTATTTTGCGTCGCAGACTGGCTTCTGAAGGTGCAATTGCGATTTTACAGGCTTTCTTTTGTTGTAAAATAGAAAATAATGTTGTAAGATTACTGACTGTTTTATTTGGTGTATCTATTTTTAATATTAGAAATAAATGCGTTAAAATTTGTAAAAATTGTTTTATTTAACATTAAGATAACTTACGAAAGGGCTCAATTTTAAAATAATTAATAGAATCAGGTGTTACTTTGCGGAAATCCATTATAATGAAGTTGTTATAACTTTATTTGCTTAATTCCGCGTAAGGGAAGAAAATGATGTGTCCTGCCTAGTTTGAAGGGGATCTGGGATCTCTCCCACCCTCCCTCAATTGCCAACAATAACAACATGTCGACACATATCGATCGTTTAACCGCGTACAGAGAATTGCATACGACATGCTTTTGTTTCTTTTAAATTACATTGTCAATTATATTCTTTGAATAACCGTTAGAGATCGCAATTTGATAAAACACATTAAGCTTTTTTAAATAATTTTCTTTACTTAATGCCGCAGTACACAAACGATTAATATAACAGTAAAAAGCGGCTAATTTATATTGCCACGGATGACACGATGACGCAGGAATGACCGTGCCAGCATGAGTTAGCTTTCGATAAATTTGGAATTCATGTAACGAGTCTTTTCTTGTTATTGTTAAGTCGAAGAAATTAAGGGCACAATCTTGTTCCAATTCAAGCTTGAATTTAATTTTGTCGTGAATTCTATTTATTTTATTAAGGAATACATCTAGTTGTC